TTTTTTTTTTTTTTTGTTTGCAACGATCTAGACAAACTGCAATAAATATTTAATATACATCAAAACCTACCAAATTCGATTTCTGCCTACCAACCTACCAAAATTTATTTTCTTAAATTGAACCTACCAATTTTGGTCCAATTGGACCAAAACGGCAACGCTGGTCATATACATATGTATATTCTAAGGTATGAGACAACATAAATATTGACATGAATTTCCTTCTCTTAATCATGAAAATTCACTTAATCCTGAGACATCTTTAAAAAAAAAACGAAATCAATCCAATCAAATTCAAGCGCCCACCAAATACAAACGTCTGATAACAAAATCGTTACATAAACAAGAATATATCTTAGAGTTGTGATTTTTTTATATTTATAGGGTGAACTGACAGTTGAGTGGAAGATCGACCGAACTCGATAACCCATTCGAAAACGTCCTATCTACGAAATAGGCTCAAGAACGCTTTACTTCAGAATTTGGTTGAAGAACGCCTGGAACGAGCTGGCTGTCGAACACGAAGGGTATGGCTCGAAAGCGTTGCTAATAGGGCCCCATGATTCAATAATACAAGGTTAGATAATTATTGACAGCTGCGGTTTGACACTCCCTTACAAAAGGTTGCATTTACGAAGGACGGAGAAAGGGAAAGAATGAAATATCTTTGTGGGAAAATGGTAGCAGAAAAGTAGGCAATTAGTAGTGAAATTCTTTTTGTAAATTCTAATGTATTTGCAGGAAATCTGGCATTTTAAATGAAATGTTGAACGTAATACTGATATATCTACGTGAATTACGTAATTTATGTGCTATTTAGCTGTATAAAAATGCAAAATGACTCAAAATTAAAATAATGTACTATGAGATTGATGTAAACATCCAATTTAAAAACAGTTTATGTTTTCATGAGTTAAATATGCTTCGTATGCATATACAAATAAACATATTGCACAAAAGCTTATACTTCTATTTCACACCAAAGCTACACTGTTTCCATGTAAATTTGCAAAGAAGCAACACGGTGCCACTACTAAGGGAGCGGTGCGAGAGAGACAACTGTCAGTATATCGAACCTTGTATTATTGAATCATGATAGGGCCCGATACGACTCCCGGCTCGTCTACAACATCAGTGTAATCATACATTTCCACCATGAAAACAGATGGCGAGACACTTTAGCTAATTTAGACAAAAAATCTCAAGAACTTATCTGTTTTCTCAACTGTGAAGAAGTCCTCGATTTCGGCGTTGTGTAATTTTTCGTATTTTCCCAATCAAATACTGCCAAAAATCTTCCGATTGGGCATATTGGGCCTAGTGTCATTAGAATGGCGGAAAATAGCCCAACTGTGTGCGCTCTCCATCACTGGATTCCACATCCATTACTTTTTATTTAAATTAGATAAGAATTGAATACATCACGCTCATGGGAAATTTGTTCATAAATTCTCCACAAAAAATTGATTGATGATCTCAATATTTCACATCATTTAGTGCATTTTTATTATGCATACATATAAGTATCGTTTATTTGTCATATAGACAATTACAAACAAACAAATTAAAACTAGTAAATTCCAGTTTCCTTGTGCATTGCTTGCATTACCTAATAATGCATTTATTATATTTGGCAATACACATGCATATGTTAAGTTTTGTAAATTGATTTCAATCATGGAAGGCGCACCCTACCACTACGTATGTAAGTTTAACAGTTGAAACACTTTTACTGCACGTTGCGCTACTCATTTCCTAAATGGTTGATTATTTACGTTTTTACGTTTTCCACTACTGAGGCTATTCTCAGATATTTATAGTTTTCGTTTTATCTTTTATTTTGTTTGATACTAATTTTTGATATTAAAACTTGATACTTAATATAAAAGTCGAGTCCACAAAAGTTTAAAATTTTTTATAGATTTATGAATAAAAAATTATATTGAAAATACAGTTTTGCACAATGTAAGTACATAAGATCTTAGCCCTTAGAAGAAAATAAAAAAAAATCGTCGCACACCTCTGCGCCCAATATACTTTTGCTAGGCGTTTTCGAAAAAGTTTTTTTTTTACCGAACCTAGGGTTCACCTTTTTAAATTTTTTGGTGACACCTACATTCGGCAATAAATAATTTTTTTCATATAGTTCTACTGGAATAATCAAAATACTTCCTTAGCCAAAGTTTAATGATGCTTTGCGAGCTTTAATTTACTGACATTAGGGTGGTAGGAATTGAGATCTGATGGGGAAGTATTAAGACGCGGTACTTGTGGTTAATGTTTAGGAATAAAACAATTGTCTTCTCGGGGCAAAAACAGCCGAACCGAATAGTAAAAGCCCTGAGGCTCCTCAAAGATGATGAGAGATTTGTGCGCCGAGGGACTCTGCCTTTCAATTAGCTACCCAGCTTAAAGTATCACTTTTTATTGAAAATTATTCTTTGCTTCATCACCAGGCTGTTAATATTTTTGGATTAATGCTGAATCCTACGTAGACAAAGTCCTTCAATGTTTTCCAATAATGACTTTTGCCCCGAAACGCAAAAACTTTCTGTGTGTTGCCACGACATGCCTATTTACTTTCCCCACATTTTGTTCATTGCTTCAGCAACATATTTTTTTCTTTCTTCAAGTTGAAAAATTTGGCGCCGGCGCACAGTGGTTGGAGAAGCTACGTTTTACGCGAAAAATTACGAGGGAAGTTACGACTGTAATAAAATTGCATGATCGTAGTACTATTGTAACGCTAAATCCGAATATGCCATAAAATTTATATTTTGACAGTTGACACCTGCCAAATCAAATGTTAATTTCTCTAAAAATAAGAAAATCCCAATTGGGGGCGACATACCCTCTGGCTACGGAAGGTTGCGTAGGTAACCCATTTTCGCCCGAAGTCGTTCACTTTTCGCTTAAAGCGCGCTTGCATTGTTCAACATTCACAGGCGATTAGTTGAATCAACAGTTGAACGAAAAGTTCAATTTTTATTTGAAAATATTCTCGTGCAATATTTAATCGCCCCATTCTGTGTTTTCTTGATAAATTATTTGTAAAGAAATTATATCAAGATTTTTATCAACTAAAAGCTCTCATCGCATTCTATGTCAATATTTATAAAATAAAAAGCTCTATGATTGCCACATGAACGGAACTGATTTCCACCTGACTGGAACTCATTTTATTGTCACAAATTAAAAATATGAAAAAAATATAAAAATATTAAAAAAAGCTTTTGAGCCGTAGCCGAGTAGGTAGAGATGTCGACTATAGTTCCGTGATGATATGTTTTCATCATGAATTCCGTGTGTCGCCGGTTCAAATGCCGGCACATGAAGTATTTAAATGACAGAAATTTCAATATGTAAACGCTTGTCAATAACAATTCCAATCTTGATAATTTATCAAGAAAAGAGCTTTGGATTTCTGTGTTAGAATTCCAGTTCTTGATAATTAATAAAAATTTTACAAATTATAAAAAATTTTTAGTTTTTCAAGTGCACAGAAGTATATTTTTTATGTACATACACTGGCGATCAAAACTGAGTTCATTGTGATTTTTTAAATATCTACAATGTTTTTAAAATAACATTTTTTGTTATTTTTTTATAAAAATATTTTTCATGCTTTTAGCAAAAGCACATATCGCTCATTTACTTCAACCCTGTCATAAACGAAAAAAAAAATTTGAATCTTAAGTTGAGAATGCAGAAACTACCGCTAACTCTTCTTCTATGTTCTTTAATGGATGAAATCTTTTTTCTATGAAACTTAACGTATTAATAAATATTTTGCGAGTAGGTTGGCCGAAAAAATCCAGGCCAGGATATTTTTAATTAAATATTAAAAAATTAGTATTATTTTTTGTTTATTTTTTACTCATTTGCTCAATTCAAAAAAAAAGGTTTGGGCGATTTGTTTGGATAAATCAATACATAAACTAAAAACTACTGTTACACCTGCTTTTGTATTAATTGCGTTAAATCTGTACTATGTACAAGCAATTAAATTACCCTCTCTGAATTTCGAGTTAGCTCACTTTAGATCTACATAAGTGGGTGTGCGATATGTTAATATTATGACAATCGCCTGGAAAGATGAGGACTTTTTTTTTATCTACATCTACTACATCTTATTAGTTGATTTCAAAGCTGTTAATATTAAGCGTTGTTCACATGAGACTACATCTTATTAGTTGATTTCAAAGCTGTAAATATTAAGCGTTGTTCACATGAGACGATTTTCTAGGAAATTTAACAGGCGGTTAGTTGAATCAAAAGTTGACTACCCCTCCAACTTCATTGGAAGCGATTAGTTGAAAGGCCGTTCACACCAGGCGGTTGTTGCTTTCAACTAAAAGTTGCCTCTAAATTCGCCTCATGTAAACACTGTATTACTTAAAAAAAATCTACGCTACACTTTCATAAAAACTAAAAAAATTCACGAATATAAAATAGCTTACCGTATTTCGGTACAAATTATCTCTAAAATAAATATTACTAGAGCTCTAAAAAAAAAGAGAACACCAACTACTGCGCCGTTGCTGTTGAGAATAAACGTGAGACGTGATAAGTAAGTACTCAAAGCACATCGTCAATAGCTATGAGTTCTGCGAGTCAGTTGGTTTTTCGCAGTGCTTCAGGTTGGGTGTTTAGTATTGTGAGCTCGCTATCAAAACGTAACGAAATACGTAAAAGTGACGAAAAATCGTTAAATTATTACAAGAAAAAAAGGTGCGTCTGTATGTAAGGCGCCGAGATAACGTGCGCATCAACTAGAAATTGTCTATTTATAAATAAATAAAATAGATTATCACGCATTGAAATTAACAAAAGTTATTTCGCCATTTTCGACAGTAATTTTTTGGTTGGTGGAAAATAAATACTACATACATACATATGTACATACATTAGAGTGCATCACTACCCATACAAAAAAAAAACTCGGTACTGTGTTTCCATTGGAATTATAAAATCTATTATATTTTAAGACTTCCGCCAAAATATTTCGGGAAAATATTAAGATTTACGTGAGCTGGACCGATTTGAAAATAGCTCCAAAAATGGAGTTATTTATTAATCAAAATCTTTTTAAAGATCTTTTTGAAAAAACAAAATCCCTCAAATGAGAAAAAGCTATAAAAATTTGCATAAAAATATTTTTGAAAAATGTAAAAAAAAAAATTTAACGGAATCTTAATTAAGTGATTTTTGATGCTGTTTTTTAACTTTTTTCAAAGATTGGTATAAGAAAAACTTGAATAACAGAACCTAAGCTCTTCCGATTTAGACTTAAGGGGTGTCATTGGAAAGGCATTTTCTCACCTTTTTTATTTCTTTGCTAATAAACTCGGGATGAACGAGTGTCATTTCCAGTTGAATTAAGATGTGTAGGTATTTAAAAAGAAAATTGGGACGTTAATGAGTTTTTTTTTGTACAGAAATAAAAATAGTGGGAAAATACCTTTCTACCGAGACCCTATAAGTCTAAATCAGAATAGTTTTGGCACAGTTATTCCAGTTTTTCGTAAATCAATCTTTGGAAAAGGTTAAAAAAACTTCATCAAAAATCTCATAATTACGATTATGTTGAAAATATTTTAAAATATTTTTATGCAGATTTTTTAAACTTTATATGTTTTGTCATCTGGGAGGTTTTTTTTTCAAAAAGTTCCTTACGAAACTATTTTTATTAATAAAAAAAAACCCAATTTTTGGAGGTCCAGCTCACGTAAATCTTAATATTTTTCCGAAATATATTGGTGGACGTCTTCAAATATAATAAATTTTGTAATCCCGGCAGAAAAACCCCAATCTTTTTTTGGTGATGCAGTCTAATGTGCATACATACATACATATTTAAGCGAAGAAAAAGCAAATCAATTCTGTATAGTAAAAAGTGCACATATTTGTTCGTTCCTAATTCAGCCACACGCATATCATTTCCAAGTATAATATTGAGAATAATTCTCTGTGTATACTTATAAGATTTGTTTGTGCTCGTTTAATGTGCAACAAAAAAACAGTGACTAGTAAACAAAAAAAACGTGACAAGGTCTGAGTCCTCGAATCTTCGAAGGAAACTTTTAATAAGACAAAAAGTAAAATGAACCAATATGCAAGCCAATTCTCAGCGATAAACGGATAAAGTGAAGCGTAGAAGAATATACATACGTATATTTTGTTTTGCGTAAACGCGAAGCAAGTTCAAGTGACCTTTAATCAGGTTATCACTTTGCATTGAAATGGGAAGTGTAAAAAAATTGCTATCTATTTGGTGACATTTCGCTAGTTTTATCAGCATGTTTACGCTGCTGTTTTTGGATAATTCATTTCAACTAAAATTAAATTTGCGTTTTGTGTCAACAATAAAAATGTACTTGAGAAGTATGTGCGACAAAAATAGTTTTTTAGTGTTATGCTTTGAAAGTGAATGGGAAATCTGAATCTGAATACACTTTAGGGTGGTCCAGAAAAAGTTTAACATGTTAAGCTCTCACTGCTCAGGATTTTTCTTAATGAAAAAAAAAGAATACCCGTATTAAAAACAAAAAACAAAATATTTAGAACTGCCTCAGAGTCCATGCAGTTTTCCATGTATTTTGCAAGGGGAAAAAGCACTTTTTCATGTAAATGGTTTAGAATTCTTGAAAGTTAATATTTTTCAATCGGTAACTCTGTTCAAGAGACTTCCAATAATAACACCCGATTTTTTATTTTACCATTCTTTAATACCAACGATTTTTTATGGGTCCCAAATTGTATTTTTGGAGTTTTTGGAGGCCCTATAAAAATTGATAATATTGAAAAATTGTTAAATAAACAATTTGGTATTGTTATTGGAAATCTCCTGAAGAGAAACAGGGTTTTCCGATCGAAAAATATTAATTTTCAAGAATTCTATTCCTGAAAAAGTGTTTTTCCCCATATACAATAAATACATGGAAAACTTCAAGGGCTTTGAGGCAGTTCTAAATATGACCAAGAATTTTCTTTTTTTAGACAAAAAAATAGGGATATTCTTTAGAAAAAGTATAGGGTGTGAGAGTTTAACATCTTAAACTGCCACCCCCCGTCCTATCCCCCGCATGAATTTTTAGACCACCCTAATGCACATACATACATATCGTTACGCTGCTGGAAGAACGTCATAACTAAAAAAATTAAAAATGTGAAGAAACTGGGCTTACAATTTTGTATTAGTGTTCGCATCGGATAACAAATAAATTATGACATTTGTAAAATTTAATCCAGAGAATAAAGCTCTCATCGAACCATAATTTGGTTCCTTACTTTTGTTAAACAGTGACTGTAGTCTAGTAATATTTCCTAAGCAAAGTGAAAAAGTGCAAAATTGCAGAAAAGACAAATTCCGTTTTTGGTGAAAAACATCTGCTCGTGTCCACCGGAATTATAAAATTTATTATACTTAAAGATTTCCTTTTTAAGCAGACCTTTTAAGTTTACACTCTTCTATCATCTGAGGTGATTTTTTAGAAAAAAAGATATTTTTTTCAAACTAAAAAAAAACTAGATTTTTGGCGGTATTTTCAAATCGGTCAAGCTTACGTAAATCTTAAAATTTTTCTGAAATATTTTGCCGGAATTCTTATGGCCTCATTCATAAACAAATTAAATAGCTTTTTCGATTTAAGTTTTCTTTATTTTTTTATGAATTTTATATTTCCAATGGAAAATAGCACCGATTTTGTTTATCTGGAGAGTGATGCACCCTAACGTTTAGTTTATTTAGTCCGTTTAGCATCGAAGGCACGCGACTAATTATCTACAATGAACGTCCTTGTTCTGGTAAGAACGCACTTTTATTTATCGCCGAAGAGTCGCCTAGTGATAGAAAGTGAGTGCATATTTGATTTTTCTGTTACAATAAAATTTAGCAAAATGCAAACAAATGATAAGAGTTTATTGAACTTGATCTTAAAATGTGTTCATAGCGAATTTATGTCGTTCTAAGATCAGCAGTGCACGTGTGTTCTTTGTTGTATTTAGTTCCGACACCAAAAAAAATAAGACCAGCGCTCGAAATGCACTCGGTACGCGAATTGGAGGGACCTACAGTTTTACGCCGCCTCCGCACAACTAATGGATTTTATGAGAAGCTATTTTTCATGGCAGAAATATACTCGGAGGTTTGCTTTTGCCGGCCGAGAGGAGACCGCTTTTAAGAAAAATCCTTTTTCTTTGACCAGAGTTCGAACAAGCGGAAGTACGCACCACAAACCACTCGGCTACAGCGACCGAGGAATTTCATTATTTTGCTTTAAAATTTAAAGCTGAGCTTACCGCATTGGACACAAATAAATAATATCCATAAAAATAAAAATAAAAATTTAGCTGCCTTCAAACATTACTTTGAGTTCTTGGTGTTTTTCGTTAACAAATACATGCATATGTATTTAATTATATGGATAATTATTCAGAGTATTTTTTCTTACATAAATCTGAAATGACAAATTAGTAGACGCTGATAATTAGCATCTTTCGTACACCAGCCAAAGCATCTACATACATACATACATATGTACATACACCAGATTACACTTATCAGCGTTAGTTCAATAATTGCAAACATACATACGTAAATAATAATAAATATTTACGTTTTAACAAGCGATTGTAAATGAGATGTGCAAGCTAAAATTCTTAAATATTTTTTTACGAAGCTTTCTTGAGACACGTTGTAATTGATTGACACTTTTGATACGCCGAATTTTTGTTTTGTAGAGGCTGCACAATACGGGTACATATGTACATACATATCGCACACCTACTTAGATCTAAAGTAAGCTATCTCAAAATTCAGAGTGGGAAATATAACCGCTTGGGGACCATACAGATTCAACACAGTTAATACAAAAACAGGTACAACAGTAGTTTTTTAGTTAATGTATATATGTATGTATGTTTTTGTTATTGATGGCCTTATAACAATTATATTCAACAATTTTGATTGAGCTTGAGGCCGTTTTTAATGAAAAGCTTATTGTGGAAAAGCAACAATAATTTGAAAAAAAATGGTAGAAGTGATAGCTATTTCGGAAATCACCATAATTCCTCATCAGACTCTTTCAGTGCGATTGGATCCAACGACCCCAGCTTCTACAATTTTATTTTTATAAGTGACTTCAGTTTTAGTATGATTTATTTATGTAACTCTAAAGTCGTACGAATGTCACGTCCGGCATCATGAAAGCACCGAAGAAAGAGGGGATGGCGAGAATAATTGAGCATGATTAAGATTAAGTCTAAGATTTAAATTAAGATTAACTTAAGATTTCGATAGAGATTCAGATTGAGGTCTAGATTGAGGCTAAAATTGAGATTGGGATTAATATTTTTATTTAAGTAAGGTTCAGATTAAGATTGATATTAAGACTAAGATTAAGGTGGAGATTAAAATTAAGACTAATATTAAGTTTGAGATTGAGATAAAGAGAGAATTAAAGATAACACCGGTACACACAGATGTATTTTGACGCTTTAAATCCAAATCTCCAGTCGGTTTTGGCTTAAAAGCTCATCAATGCTCAATCATGCTGGCCCCTACCAGTTTTGCAACTCAGACAATTTTTTCATTCTTTTTGTTGTTGTGGTGGCACTACTAGACCTTTTCTAAATCGGCCAGTCTATCAATAGTTGTCGTCAAGCTCAACGAACCGTAGAAATAGGAAACATGCTGTTCGACGGGGTTGGACCAAAGGGATAGGGTTGGTGGTTGAATGGTTTTAAGAGGGAAATTAAATAAATGATTGATGTTTTGGGTATAGCGATGGTATCTGGATAACTTTTTAGACATTAAACCTGCTATGTTATAGAATAAAGACGTTAGTCGCGCCAGAGTTATGCGGGATTCTAGAGGCAGCTGAAGCTAGTTTTGGTTGTTGATTTTTCCGACACGGTAGGAGTATGACATATTGTGGAACGACTTTCTGGCATCCCTTCTCAATTTGGGTTTGGAGACAAACCGGCTTCTGCATTGTGTCTTCTTCAGTGTGATCTAAATAGTTAATGTTTGTCTGTCAATGTTTATGATTAGTTCTGCTAATGTTCGTTGTTTTCTAGTCAGGTACGGTTTATCGAATGAAGCGCTTCGTCTGCGATGGATGGTGGTTGAACTCTGATAGCAAAAGAAGGATTGACCTGTCTACTTTATGACGAAAAGAAGATGCGCTTTGGCGCGATATATGAACTGGTTATTCAAACTATACGGCTGTGTAAAATGGCATTGAGCAACGCTATCGGCTTCGGCAGAATTGGGAGTACATACATTCCGAGCTATTTGATACCATACGAGTTTCAGTCAGAGTGGCCTTCTAGCGTATTTTTCTTCAATCTAATCTTAAAGAAGATAATAATAACTGCATAACTTAGTCAAAAAATAAAATGTTTGCTATCAAAAAAGAATGCGGCTCCGCCCAATCCTTATGTAAATAGTACCCCTCGTGTGTACAACGTGTGCCAAAAAAGTAACTCAAATATTAAGTTGTTCAAAATTATTATTGTTTATCAGTCTCAAATAAGTTGTTTACATCAAAATATTTTTAAAATTCCCTAAATTAAATATCTAAAGATCCTCTCCTTCTTTCTTCCAGTTGAAAAGTTCACAAGTAATGTCCAGTCCACCAAAAACTGCAAACGTCATTGAAGATTGTCAAGGCAGTGGTTCCAATTCGCCGACCATTGAAGTATCCAACACAAATGGACACGCGTCCACGTGCTCCGAGCGCAGCGATGGACTCTTCATGAAAATGCGGCAAAATTCTGTGACATCCATCGATAAGCCCGACGCACCGCAAGTGCAGGCGTTAGCCACTATTGAAGTGCCGCCTATTAAACGCAATATTAGCGAAGGAAATCTGCTACCAAGTGAGGTGAAAGAGGCGCGAGTGCGTGTCATCTATACGGGTGGCACAATCGGCATGGTGCGGAATGAGAATAATGGTAACAAAAAACTTGCAATTAAAAAAATATAAGGCAATTTCTTTAATGTTTTATATGCATTTCCAGTTCTAGCGCCCATTCCAAATGCTTTGGTGAAAACGCTACGCAGATATCCCAACATACACGATGAGAACTATGCGCAGCTACGCTTCGGCTCGGCAGCTTCAATGGGTCCGCTCGTACTGCCATTTGTACAAGGCGAGAAACGACGCGTCATCTACCAAGTTACCGAATATAGTCAGCTCTTAGATTCTAGTAATATGACCATGCAGGATTGGGCGCGCATTGCCAAGGATATACATGTAAGTCAAAAGTGAAATTCCAATGTTCCGGGCATACTTGACTGATCAAATCGTTTAACTCTGCAGCAATCTTATGAGTTCTTCGATGGTTTCGTCATACTCCACGGCACCGATACACTCTCCTACACCGCTTCCGCGCTATCGTTTATGTTGGAGAACCTTGGCAAGACTGTTATTATTACCGGCTCACAGATACCCATTTTCGAAACGCGCACCGACGGCAAAGACAATTTTACCTCCGCCCTAATAATCGCCGGCAACTATGTTATACCGGAAGTGTGTGTCTTCTTCGGTCATAAATTGATGCGTGGCAACCGTACTGTGAAGGTTAGCTCGGATAGCTTGGAGGCATTCGATACGCCAAATGTGGTGCCATTGGGACGTATAGGCATAAATGTAGAAATCGATTATCGACTCATTTTCCGACCATGCAGCGTCTCGCGTTTTGCGGTGCAAACAACTTTGGATGAAAATGTGGGCATCTTGCGTATTTTCCCGAGTATTTCGAGATCGTCAATACGCGCATTCTTGGCGCCGCCTATGAAGGGCATTGTACTGCAATCGTTCGGCTCTGGCAATGTGCCATCGAATCGCAAAGATTTTATCGAAGAGCTGCGGGTGGCATGTGATCGAGGTGTAATCATTATAAATTGCACACAGTGTACCAATGGCGGTGTGGTGGCGCTTTATGATACAGGCAAAGTGTTGTTCGATATTGGCGTGCTGCCGGGATATGATATGACACCTGAGGCAGCGCTGACGAAGCTTTCTTACGTGTTGGGTAAAGTGGGACTCTCTTTGGAGCAAAAGAAGGAGGTGAGGAGGAGAAAAATCAAAATATTAATGTGTTGTAAGACTCATTTAATTTTCCGTTTACCATTCTTCCAGCAAATGCAAACCAATTTGAGAGGTGAACTCACCTCATCGGTTGGTGCCAAAATGGAAGAGTTCGATTTGGTGGATGCTGTTGCACGCTCTATGCATTTATCTACCCCCGAGGAACTGGGTCAAATGTGTGCCACCCTATTTCCGGCTATGCTGAACACAGCCGTGCAGGAAGGTGACATCAATAAGGTACACAAAATTTTGTAACGGTGAACTGCATTCTATTCTAATTTTATTAATCTTCACTCTGCAACCTACAACTCATCACCGTCCTCGTCTTTTTCAGATTATCAACCTAAAAGCGTACGGTGCTGATCTCTCTTGCGTGAATCACGATCATCGCACAGCGCTCCATCTCGCCTGCAATCAGGGCAATTTTGCTGTTGTCAATCATTTACTAATGAATGGCGTATCAGTGCACATACGTGATCATTACGACCGCACTCCACTCTTAGAAGCAATCGCAGGCGATCATCACGACATTATACAGATACTTATCAACTGTGGTGCCCATCTTACGGGTTCATCACGCGCCATCGGTGAGCAGTTGTGTGCTGCTGCTGCACGTGGCGCCCTATTGCGACTAAAGTCTTATCAACTCGCTGGTGCTGATTTGGCGCAACCTGATCCCTCTGGTCGCACAGCGCTGCATTTGGCCGCTTTACATGGTCATGCGGAATTGGTGCGCTTCCTGTTGGATATTTTTGATAACCCAAAGGTAAAAGATATGCTAGATCTTACACCATTGGACTATGCTGTCAAAGGAGGTCAGCAGGAGATTATACAAATGCTGGGCGGTCGAGCAACAACGCCAGAAGTAAATGGGGGAAGAAAGTAAAAATTTAGCTGTATATTGTTTACTTATTTGTATTTAATTACGAAAAATGGCTGTAATTCAAATTAAACGATATTCGCGAAAGGCGAATGTCCTTAAAAACATGTAAATACATTACAAACGCTTTGCACTTATTTACGTAGCCTTGTATTAGCTCTAAAATGTTAGAGCGTTGAAAATTTTAAATAAATTTTATAGAAAACGAACCAATTAAAAAGTAATGTAGAAAATTTTTAAAATTAAATTAATCCAATTTAGTTGCAGGTTGTAATTTTCAGAGCTTTTTCCAAGATTTGTATTAGTTTAAAATATAAATTATCCGCAGAATACGCAATATACCAATATTAATCATACATGCATTTTCGAGAAAAGGAATTGGATACCTGTACTTAATTTGTAAACACATATGTACCTATGTATATGTATGCATATTCATCATTTTAGCTACTACGGATACATACTTAAGTCCATACATATGTTTAATGTATGTATTTGTTAATAAACTACTAGTTGTTGTAAAAAATCATTTAATTAAAAATATGTATGTACTTACTGGCGGTTATAGAATAACAAACTGACTTACCATGAGCGTCATTGGCTTCAACTGGATCTGAAGTTCCCAAGTATGGCTATTTCAGCATTATAAATTTCTATATGCGGTAGAAAATAGCTGAATTTATTTCTAATTACAACGCTAAGAAGCTTTACTTTTTTAATTTTGCTTTATTTTTATAACTTTGCATTAGACACCTGTCGGCATTCACACAAGAATTGCAAACACATAGGATTTCAAATTGGATAACACTTAACTTGCATTTCAGCAATTTGCATTCACTAACTTTTTTTCAAAGACCACTGGGTGGACTGCTGCACCTCTTCTGCCTATTTCGATTTTATATCACCACAAATTTTATTCTAATTTAATCGCTATACAGATATTTTCACACGTGCCTTTGCTACTCCCTCCGGAAGACCACATTATGGATTGCACGGCGTCAGACGCCATTAACTTAAACACAATGCACTTTAGCTTATTTAAAACACAATTTGCAAAAAATATAGCTACATTCACACAAATTGGAGCCTACAGCATATTTTAACACGAACCACGCTATGAATTTCACCTGGGCGCCACATTCAGCCAACTGCGGCTCCATAAATTTTATATCACAGCACATTCGCGTTTATTTATATTGCTTTCAGACGGGCTTAACTCTGAGTTTCCATTTTCATCACAAAAATTCACATCCGGAAGCGTTATTACACCAAATTTGTACAAAAACCGGAAAAACTTTTACCGCAGGAAACAATTCTGCAAATTTTCGCGCCCGTTATAAATCTGCTGCTTCTTCTCGCACTACCCAGTCCCAATTATACTATACAAATGGCAACGCTGAAATAAAATTTATCGCCGTTGTTGGCAACGCAGTACTTTTGACAGAGTGAAAATTTCTGCTGACATGGAAATTATTTTTGTTGTGCATCGTCTGGAATTTTGTAAATTAAATTTGGTAAATGTACTTAAATTGTTATTAAATTTACTTTAAAATATTGTCAAAAGGTCCATGCACCAGTAGCGCATAAAATTGCGTGATTTGTTGCAGGTGTAGTGACATTTTTAAGCGTATAAAGTTTAGCTTAATTATTTTTGTCTTCCATCTCGTACACGTCATACATTTCTCTGCTCGAGCAGAAGTAGCCCCGAAAATCGGGTGCTCCAATTGGATTGTGTATTTATGTATGCGGGGAGCAGCAAGGCGGTGACAGTGCTTCAAGAGCGTGATTTCATATTTGTTTTTAGATTTTAGTCGCACTTAAAGTTTGATGTCTTGCTTTCTTCTTGCAGCGCAAATGCACGAAAATCGAATAAAGTGAACTACACAGCGAAAAAGATATAAAAAGTACATGTCGAATTCAAACAAGAAAGTGCTGCAGGTATTAGTTTATAGCTATAGTAGTAGATAGCACTAGCAGGAACAGTGTAATTAGTGTAACGAAAAACGAGTTAAAATCGATAAGGTCGAAACGGGTAAAAACATGTCCAACAATGACGCAAATGAGCAGGCCGCACATATCAGCAATCTACAGGAGAGCTTTTCCAAGCAACAGGTAATATTCACTTGATCATTCATTGTAACTTCCGCCTATTGATTCTATAAAAAATTATTCAACAGAAAAAGATATCGGCGTTGAAGGAACTTGTACGTAAATCCGAGGTCGCGCACGGAAAATCTACTTCAACTGCGCAAGAAAAAGTCAAAAACATTGCCCAGCGTTTAACACACCTTAAAATAAAAGCGCGTTCACGTCAAAGCCCGCCGGCTAATACTCCAACAACCGTACAGGAGAATGTACCTACAATTGTGCCAAATGAAGCGAGTGGGCCGTTGGTGGAGCAAGAGCAACCGCAACAACACCAAGCTCCTCATTTAGCGCACTCGCTTTCCTATGCGGAGTCCACAGTTGGCGGTTCTCCGCATTTTACACCGTTAAAGGCCCAGCAACGCAGCGAGTCCAGCAAATCACTTTCGAGTAGCTCCACGCCAGGTAGCGAAAAAGTGTTGCTGCTCCGTAAGCAAATGGAACAGAATAAATTGTTAATGGCACAGCGCGCATCAAGTAAACAACATTTGGAGCAGCTCGTTTCACAGCTGAAAGAGAAATTCGATACGACACAACAATGCTTGGAAGATACAACAGAACTGGGCAAATCGATGAGTGATCTCAGCGCATTGATGGTGCGCTCACCCGCGTCTCGTGATCGACACAAATCGGCCACAGATTTGTCTTCACAGCCGTTCTCTTTGGAAAAAGAGCGCATAAAGTTCCTCGAAAATCGTTGCCGCCTACTAGAAAAGCAACTTGAGAAAGAGCGCCAAGCGCACGGACACCAAGATGTAGCAGTTGCTAACGAATCAGCAAATCAAAAGCGACTAAAGGAATTAGAAAATAAAGTGGTGGAATTGGAAAAAGCACTGCAAGAGCATCAGCGCGAAATTGATAGCAAAATGGGCGAGACTCAGCATTTGGCCGAAGAATTAGAGCGCACACGCTCAGAGTTAAATGCTAAAGATGAAGAACTTTGCCTAATGAGATTGAAACAGCGCGACAATGCAAATGAACTATACGAATTAGCCGATTTGGAGAATAACGATATCGACAGACTTCACATAGAATTAGCAGAGAAGAACACACGCATTAATGAATTGGAAGAGATCAACGATATGCTAGAGTCGACACGCTGTGATCTGTCATTGAAGAATAATCAATTTGAAGAGCAATTGCAGCAAATGAAAGCCGAACTAAATACAGCATATGAAAAGCTACAATCCCTGCAGGAAGAATTTCAGCGCACTGAGGGAAAATCTGCTTCCCTGGAGGAGACAATCGAGAAGTTGCAGAATTCCACTGAAGCAGTCATTGTAGAATCTAAAAGTGACAGTAAAACCAGTCTACAGGTAAAATTTCTAATATTCAATATTTACAAATTAATTCCATACAATATGACTTTAGGTTAACGAGGAAATGGCCAAACAGATACAGGAGCTTTGTGATGAACGTGATAAGCTGTTGGAAGAGAATCGTCAGCTGAAAGAAACAATCAGCGAACAAGAGAAGCTGGAAGTGTCTGACACCAGCATCGCTGAGAAAATTGTCGCACTAGAAGCAACAATCGAGAGCCAACGCGCAGATCTTAAAGACCGCCAGACCGTGGTGAGCCGCTTGGAAGAGGAAGTAATGGAAAAAACCATCGAGCTTAATGTGCTCAACGAAAATTTCAAAGTACTAGAAGAAAAGCTCGAAACCAGTAGCAAAAGCAAGTCATTGTTCTCTACAAGTGGTGGTGATGCAGCAGATAACGCAGAATTACAAGCAGAAATACAACAACTGAAGCAAAAATTAGACGAATCTAATAAGGCTATGATAAAATTGAAATTAAAATGTAAACAAACCGAGAAACAGGTAGAGAAGTTGAAGAAGAGCTCCGATTTAAACGCTGAAATTGTGCGTTTAGAAGCATTGAACGAGGAATTACAGCAAAAAATCATTGAGTTAGAAGATGAGAAGGGCCAGTGGCAGTTAACTCAAGTAGACGCTGCTGTAAAATCGCCAGATACTGACCGCATAAATGAGCAGCAAAAGGTTCTTGCCGAATTAGAAGAACAAATCAAAACGCAAACGGAAACAATTAGGCTGTTAGAAGAGGAAAAATACGAGCAGACACAGCGCCTTGAAGAAGCAGAGAAAAAGCTGTGTGATTTGCAAGAAAAAATCATCAGCAAGGAAGGTGAAGAAAGTGCGCGCGTTAAGTCTGAAATGTCCGAAATACATTTGGAGGAGAAAGTAGAAGAACAGGCCCAACAGCTGCAGCAGCTGGAAGAGCGTTTGTCTAATGCGGTCGCCGACGCGGAAGAACAGAAGCAGAAATTGGCTGATTTGCAGGAACAAAAGCAAACTGTTGACAAGAAATTGCAGAATTATATGGTCGAAAACATGGAACTGTTGGATAAACTTGAAAAACTCAGTAAATCGTCATCCTCAGCCGAATCAATTGAAATTGTTGAACGGTTAACGCAGCAGGAGCGCGCCGAAATCGACGAATATAATAAGCGACTTGATGAAAACGTAGTCAGTTCTGTAAATGAACTCACCCAAACTGAGCTGGCACCTGAGCTTAGCGATAGCCTCTGCAAGTTGCGCGAGGAAAGCTCTGAGTTGATGAATAAAATTGAACTGTTTACAACAGAGCGCCGTGAAGTGCTGGAACGCATGGAACATTTAACCGCCGAAAATCACGAACTCGTACAGAAAGTAGAAGAACTCACGCGCGAAAAGGACGAAATGGAGACGAACGTACTGTTGGCAAATGACGCCAAAGTAAAGCTGGAAGAGCGCGTCAAGGAGCTGAGCAAAGAGAAAGATCAGCTTGCCGTGCAAGTATCTGAATTTAAGGTGCAAGGCAACCAAATCTCACAAGGACTCTCATCGTTGCAAAAGTCCTCGGAAGTAGTTGGTGCACTCGACAGCAAGCAAGATGCAGCGCTCTTTGAAAAATGTGAGAAATGTCTCACGAATTTGAATCATGAATTGGAGATCTACCGCAAGGCTAGTGATAAAAATTCCAAAATCCTCGCTTCTAAGAAGTTAGCCAAAGAAGCCAAGAACGCACACACACAACTCAGCGAATTGCTGCAAAAGGTAAAAGAGGCCAGCACAGCGGTGGAAACAGTAACTGTTGTGGAAACAGTCGTCGCAGTGACTGCGCCCAACGGCAAGGCGTTGGCAGAATACGAACAACTGACCACGCAAAACAGGCTTCTCAAGGAAACAATCGAAGAGTTGCGTCGAGAACTGAGCGAAGCGCATGAGGGTGATGGCGCTGTTGCCACGGTAGAACCAACACCAGCAGTGGCGCCAGTAGCAGCGCTGACCGAGGATCAAACAGCTAAAGAGGAACGTGAAAAGCAATTGGAGGTGCTTAAAAAATATGAAGAGCAGTGTGTGGAATTGCAATCGATCGTGGAGAGTTTACGCTTGCAGTTAATAGAGGCACGCACAGCGGGCGAAGAGCGGAGCGGCGAAATAACGCAATTAAATGAAGAGTTGAAATTGTTAAAGAAGACTGCAAGCGAATTTGAAAACTTGCTAAAAGAAAAGGATTTATCACACGAAATGGAGGTTAAGGAGATAACGCGTTTGAGAAAGGAGTTGGAAGGTAAATGAATGTTGAACGTTTTTAAGCTGCAATTTAGACTAACCTTATCTTTGTTATCTTACAGGCAAATGCGATACCTACGAGGGTGAAATGATCATTCTGCAAACGCTCGTCACTGAACAGAAGCAACAACTAATAGAAGCCTACAAGGAGCATGAGCACGAAAACAACATGAAGCTCTTAGAGCTGCAGGAGCGCGACGAGCAAATAACGCAGCTGCGCGGCGAACTCAAAGAACTAAAGCATTCGCTAGAATCCGCAGGCGATCAGTTGTCCGAAGATCTCCGCAAAGAGTGCGAGAAACTGCGCGAAGCACTGAAGATAAATAAGAACTTAGTGACCGAGCAAGTCAATGAGCTTTCAAATAAGCAAGAAACCATCGAAGCGCTAAATCAACAAATAATTGACTTGTACAAATCTATGGAGGAGAATGCTAACAAAATCATTGAGAAAGAGGATGAAATCAACGACATGAAAAACATTATCGACCGCAATACTAAAGAGCTGGAGCATTTGCGCAAAGATAACGACGAAGAGAAGTCGGTAGTTGACAAATTATTGATTGAGCTTCATAGCCATCGGACCACCGTTGAGCAGATACCGCAGCTAGAAAGCGATGTTCAGCGATTGCAGCAAGAAAACCAAAGATTGGATCAAAGCAATAAGGAGCTTGAGAAACGTAACAAAGAACAGCTGGAGAAACTGAAGAAATATGCAGCTAATTTGAAGAAACGCGCCACTCAATGCCAAGAGTTGGAAGCCAAAGTGAGTGAGCTGGAAAAGGGTAGCTTGGAAGCAATGCAAACCAAGCAACAAAATGCAAGCCATGAGCAATCGTTGGCAGACACAGTAATGAGCCTGGAAGAACAAGTCGAAAGATTAAAGGCCCAACTCGAAGCGAAAGATAAGGAAGCCGCAGAGGCAACCGAAATCGGTGATAATTTGAAAAGCCAACTTGAGCAATTGGAGCGTTCCTTGTCGGAGAAGAACAGCGAGATAGTACACTTGCAAGTGGCGCTGGTCGATGCGCAAGACCAAGCCTCAGGTTGGGGTGACACTGAGCTGGAGGTGCCCAAAGAGAATAACGAAGAAAACGAAGAGCTAAAGAAGAAGTTGGAGGAAAAGACACACAAACTGCAGGAGGCCGAAGCAGAAATCTACAGCATGCAGGAGGAATTGATACAAGTGCGCGAAAGCGAGCGCGAAAAATATTGCGCCATCAGAGACATACAGGAAGCGATCGAAGAAAAGGTGAAAACATATGAGGAACGACTGCAAACGCTCAACGAAGAGCTCAAAGCAAAGTCACTAAAATTCGAAAAATCAAAAGCGGTCATTAAGGAGCGAAACAATCAGATACAACGTTTGCAAGCGCAACTGAAGGACCTTCAAGACAAGCTGAGCGCGCGTCCCGAAGAAGAGTACATTGGCTCGCCTCAGCGCATCGCAGCTCTAAGCGTAGCGCCACCACCGCCAGCGCAGCTTCAAGTGCCCAAGGAGGTCTACGACGAACTACAGGCGGCCTACGAAAAGTTGAATGAACGTTTCAATGCAGAGCAAGGAACCTTCCAGGCTACCATTAGCCGTCTGGAGACTTTGCACGACGGCATACAAGCTAAGCTGCAGGAGAATATGTCCTATATTGAGACGCTAGAGCAGGAGAATAATGCTTACAGCGAGAAAATTTGCAGACTTGAGGAGGGCATTGCCACTTTCGAGGAGCGCCGTGCCTCAATGGAACGCCGCACGAATATACTTTGTGCACAAATGGAAACACGTGAAACCGAGCACGAGAAAGCAGAGGATGAGCTCATCTACCGGCTGAATATGCTCTCCGAGCACGATGATGTCATCGCTCAGCGCCTGCTGCAGACCCAAGAAGAAAAAGATGAACTTTTGGATCGCATCGAGCGCATACAATCCGAGTTCAACCAACTCAGCAGCAGCTATGCCAAAATGGAAAAAGATTATCAGCTATATCGCGAACAGAGTGAGTCTACCCTTGAAACAGAGACTCAAACGCTACGGGAACAACTCTCCGCCGCACGTGCCGAAGCGGAACACCAGCGTAGCGTTTACGACGCCAAGCTGGCCGCCAAAACCACTGAACTCGATGAGCTAGAAAGTGAATTAAGTGAGCAATTATCCAAAATGAATACTGAGAAGCGCGCCACGGCAGAAGGTCTAGAGCGCGCACGGGATGAGTGCAATGAGCATAAAGATGAGATTGTGCGGCTCAAAGAGTCGATAAACGCTTTGGAGCAGGCCAAGCAGGAGCTGGAACGGGAGGCAACTTGGCTGCGCATGCAAAATGAAGGAAGTCAGCAGGATCAATATGAGTTGCAGGAGCTGCGCATGCAAACAATGCAGGATAAAACGGAAATCGATAATTTGCGCCATCAAATCGAAACGCTGGCGGCCAATCATGAAGTGGAGCTGCAGGCGCTGCGCACACAGATCTCCGAATTGGATACCTTGCGCATGCAGGTGAGTTTGGGAAGGTCAATATGGAAAGAGTGCTATGCATTTATATTTCCTTTAATTATAATTCTCGATCAGTTAATACCAAAATTAAAATAAATAAACTTCACTTTTCACTTGATTTCTTGCAGGTTGGCCAAAACCAGACAGACGATCAAGTATTCATCGAAACGGAGAACAAGCGCTTGACAGACTTACTTGCGGAGAAGGAAGCGATTATCGAAAATTATCAGCGCCAAAACTTGCAGCTACAGATGTCAGCCGCCGCCGCAGCACAGTCACAAGCGGTTGCATCCGCAACACAGCATGATCCACTTGCCTTGGCGTTCGGCTTGACACCACCTTCAAGCGCCGCCACGCCATCAACAAGTCAATCAGCTTCGTCAGACGAGGAAAGCGCTCGGCTACAGCGCGAACTGCTAGAAAAGAATGATCAGATTGCGCGACTCCAACGTGAATTGACTACAGCGCAATCCGAATTCCACAATGTGCTCGAAGGCAATCATGAATTGCAGCGACAGCTATTGGCGAAGAACCAAGAAATCGAAAATCTGCGAAGCTCCAACTACAGCACCCCCACAGCCGCTGCGCTTTTTGGGCAGCCGACGCAACAGGACGTTATACCAGCGCCTCCGCTCTTCTTCTCCACCGAACAAGCGGTGCCATCAGCCTTCGATGAGATCGTGCAAGTGCGTACAGTTGAAAATCTCGAGAGTAACAGACGCGTACGAGGCGGTGACGATATAAACAGCACACTCGAGCAACCCACAATCGAAGATCTGCAGCGCAACGTGTCCGATTTGGAGAAACATGCGCAGGATCTGGAGAATAAGTTGGCCACCCGCAATCAGCGCGAGTTGGAAATTGAAGAACGATTGCGGGAGAATCAGCGGGCATTCGGTGAATTAGAACGACAACTGCGGGAGCGCACCGAAGAGCTCCATGCTGTGCGCACTGAATTGCAGCAGGTGCTGGATGAAAACGTGGCGCTTAAGCAGGCGAACGCGATTGCGCTACAGCAAGTCGAACAGTTGACGAGCAGCAGTTCAGCGGCAGAGCGCACACTTTGTGAGCGTGATGAACAACTGAGAGCGCTGGAAAAGAGTTTACAACAGAGGCAGGCCAACAACGACAGCCAGGCATCTGATTTGATGGGCCTAGGACAATTGCAAGGCAACTTGGAACAGTTGCAAACAGTGCTGCAGCAACGGGACGACGAGTTGGAGCAGCTGCGGCGCGCACTGGATGACGAAAAGACGCTGAAGGAGCGCACCTCAGCGCTTGAGAGCCAAATTATACCAGACTCATTAGCGAACTTACAGTTGGATGGCGTGCCGAATCCAGTGCCCACACTGGATATGTTCTTCGGTGGTGTTGGCGGCGCTGGAACTGATTTCGAGACTCTAATCGTACCACCCGTATCTAACGAGCCTGTAGTAGAAGCGCCAATTGTGCCCGAAAAAGCGTATATTTGTCAACCACATGGCGAGCAGACTGTGCACCGGGAAGCAAAAACGCCTGCATTTGATCTGGATGCTGATTGGGGTGACGCGTGGGGTGCGCAAGAAGCTGCTGCTGAAGCGGAACACTTCTCCAAGACAACGGCTGCCAGTTTAGGCACAGCTGTGTCTTTAGTGCCGCGCGAACAACAACTGGAACTACAATTGGCCGAGCAGGCGGAGCGCATTGCTGAACTGCAGCTATCGGTCGAGCGTTGCGAGCAACAAAAGCAAGAGTTGCAGGTGAAATCCGGCAAGCTAATGAAGAAACTCAAGGAGTATAAGACAAAGATCGATGAGTTGCAGAGCAGCGCGACAAATGCGTCAGCTTCATTCTTCGACTTGGACGCTGCCATACAGGATGAACTCAAGGCGCAAATTAAGCAATTAGAGGAGCGCTTGGAGGAAGAGCGCAAACAGCATGAATTGCATGGGGTTGAGAAAGAGAAATTGCTAAAGCGCATCGATGTACTGACGGCTGGCAGCGAACGCATGGCCGAAATGAAGGAGCGCCAAGATATGGAAGTGCAAATGTATCAGGCGAGAATACAGGAACTGCAGGCGAAGGTGAATAAGTTGGAAGATTGGGGACCAGATGCGGAGCCAAGTGCAGGAGCAGCAGAAGAAGCAACGTCGCAGCAACAGGCAGAAGCACTGTCGACTGCACGTGTTGGTGAGTCATTTAAGACAGAATTTGTATCTTGTGTTTTCCTAAATCTTTTTTCCTATCATATAGCCAACAACATTCAGGTCCAGCTCTCGGCGCTTTCACCCAGCTGGGAAACAGAGAGGCAACAGCTCAGCCAAACTATCGCTGAACTTACTGCAGAAATACAAGACATCAATGTGGACCGTCAAGAACTGCAAGCGCTACTGGAAGATGAAAAAGCAAATGCACTGCGCGCAGAGGAAGCTCAGAAGGTACTACAGCAGCAGTTATCCGCTCGCGATAGCGAATCAGTGGCAAATGCAAGCGCCGAGAAGACGAAATACACCGACCTTAAGGCGGAGCATCAGCAGTTGCAAGAAAAGTATAACACTTTGCATGCAGCCTACGAAGAGCAAACTGGGGAGTTGAATCGCTTGAAGGTGCGCGAAGAGCAACTCAGTGCTGCCTTACAGGAGGCAGAGCGCAACTTGGCATTGAGCCAAGCGTCGAGTGCACGAGAGGAACAACTGAAAGCAGAGCTGTCTAAGACCGAAAGCAATTTATCACAGGCAAATGCTGCACTGACACGGCTTGAAGCCGATCTCGATGCAGTTCAGACGCAGCTGCTGGAATTACAAACGAGAAACGCCGAGCTATTGCAAGCAAACGAAGAGCTGCAAAATGCTAACGCAGCGACGGCTGTCACAGTAAATGCAGAACTCCTCAGCAATGAGAATGCTCAACTGCATGCACAAAACGAAGCCTTAGAGCAGCGCGTTAAACAGCTCGAGGAAGTTGCTGCGCACCAAGCGTTGAACTCAGCCCCAACAACTAGCTTCAACACAGCGCCAGCCAGCAGCGTCAACGTTGATGAACTCAATGCGCAATTACAAGAGAAGGAATCCGAAATAATGCATTTAAAGCAGCGCATCGAAGACTTGATGCGCGAAGACCAAACCGAGAAGCTTGTGCTGGAGATATTAACAAAGAACCAGGAGATACACATGCTGAAGATGCAAGTGAAAAATCTGGAGGATGACAAGCAAGAGCTGGCGCACAACCTTTCCGTGCAGATCACAAGCGAGATGCAAGCTAGCAAAGGTGACGTCGATAGCGAGAACACGAAGTTGCGCCAGCAAATACAGCAACTGGAACTGCAGCTGGAAGCACTGCAGAGCGAAAAGCGCGACATGGAGGAGGAACTAAAGGTGCTGAACAACCACGTGCTGAGCAGTCTGGAGAACGAGGACAAGCTTAAAGCGGCGGCATTGCAACTGGATACGCAAAACATTGAAATTGCCGAACTGCGACGCACAATCGAAGCACTCAGGGCTAACGGCAGCCCTCCGGTGGCTGAAGATGGCACACAGCCAGTGGACTACGCCGCTTTGAATGCCCAGTGGGAGGCGATTGTCGACCAGAAATGTGGTGAAATCGCTAAGATGTGGCGTGATCATTTAGAGCAACGCGAGGCCGAATTCAAATTGGCCGAGTCGCGCTTGCGCGAGGAGTTGGCCGCCCAGCGTCAAGCGCAGTCGCACGACCAAGGTACGCAACATGTCGTTTCCGCTGAAACTACGGCCACATCAACCCCCGGCTCGGTATCAACCACGCAGTCGGGCACCTCGTCGGGCACCGCCTCCAAGGATGGTACACCATTGCGTCACCGCATCATCAACGAGGAGCACGAAGCAGATGCTGATGCCATCATTGAGAAGATGCAAGCGGCGCTGGAAAGCCAGGAAATGGAGATTGTCACGCTGAAGGAACAGTTGGCAATACGCTCAGCAGAATATGCGCGCTTGGCGGCGCAATACGATCCATTCAAATTACAGAACACTTCCTCACACAGCGGCATTAGCGGTGGCGCCACAGTTGAGCAGCGCAGAGGCGCGGCGGTAAGTAGTAATGATGCTTCGCTCGTGCCGAAATCGGAACTAGATTTCGCGCTATATATGCTGCATCAACGTGACATGCGTTGCGAGGAAATGACGCTGGAATTGGTATCGTTGCTGGAGGAGCGCGACACCTTGCAGCTGAAACTGTCGAATACGCTGCGGCAGGTGGAAGCCCACAAAACGGCTACAAATTACGTAGAGCGTAAGTTACACAAATGTTGGGCGCAGTCATGTAGATATCTAATAATCTTATTAAATTTAATAGCCTCTAATATGTCAACAGACAGCGCTGCGCTTGCGTCACCAACGACGGCGCCTGCCAGCCAGACGCAGCGTACAGTGGTTAGCCCAACTGCTGCTGGTTGTGACTCAGCCGATGAATTGAGCCAAAAGTAAGCGGATTATCATGAGGCGCTATGAGCTAGCTAACTTAAATAATAATTAATTCTAACATTATTATCTCATTTAGATTGTCTCAGCTGCAAACTGTCAATCATTCCAAGGACAAGGTGATTAAAGAGGAACGCGATCAACGCATACGACAAATGGAAAAGATACAACAGGATGTAGCGAAAATGCCGCCTGCTGCAGTCTCTGAATTAGTTGGCACGGACGCAGGTAGTTGAAATTTTATTTTAATCACATTTGTTGTTAATTTTTATTTGTTATTTATTTTTATTTTTTCAGCTCAAACTGGCCAATCACCATCATCTGTGCTACTAAACTGGCTGTGGGGTAATAAGCCAGATGCTGGCAATTCAGCGCCAAATTAAAGCAATAAATCTACAACAACAATATCGACAATATACGAACCTAAGCGAACCAACACTGCTATGAATTCGTTTTATTCATTTTAAGCTGATTTGGTTCAAAATGCCAATGCGATATTCAGGTGTCTACCCTTATGCACCTACACACATACGTACATATGTGCATCAATATTTATGTACCCCCAATATTTTTGCAACAACAATACGTTGATGAATTGAAATTTAATTAATGTACCTTACTTTGTTCTAAATACTAAAAACTTATTTACCAAACTGTTATAAGCGATTGTAAATAACACAGATAAACAGATGTAATGCAGTTATCTTTTTTTAATTTTTTTTATGTATGTATGTATGTATGTATGCAATTGCTTAATTCGAAAAACGAGTATCTATACGAAACATTCATTCTTTAGCCTAAAACTTATGCGTATGTAGTAGTAAAGACAAAGAAATTTAAGCTGTATTTAGAAAGTTATTGGAACTATATTGAATGATAATGAAGAAATATACAGAAATTGTTAGTAACTACTTGCTTTCGTTTATTCAAGTGTCTTTTTTTTTTATTGACTAACTAGTGGCCTGCAACATTAAGGCGGTGCTAAGGTTTAAATTTTTTCTTATTAGCTGAAGCTAATTTTGAATTTATTGAACGTGATAGTCGTTCTTCTGGGTACACAGTCAAGACTCTTTTTCACACTGTATGAGACACCGGGCGACGTACATTTTGAGCCGACATGTAACAGTCCGACTGGCCGGGTAGCCGGAAACCGGAGGGTGTGAAATGTTCCTGCACTCTGGGCAATGTGAACAACCCATGCGCGATATGCGGTAACCCAACCCATGTGGAGTCGTAAAGCTACGACAGTAGGTTAGGCTACCAGTCGGCTATTCCTACGACACGTTTTATGTACCTGCTGTTTCGGTGACCCAACCCCCTTTAGATCGGCGAACCCGATCAGTCGTTTTTCGTCCGTGGAGCAATACCTGGCAGCCGGTTTATTGCGCGTCCTTTTTCGGGCGGGTATTTAGTCCAACCTCGAACAGGAATCTATTTCTGCTGCGTTTGCCAGAAGATTTTATTCGAACTCCACTTCGGTTAGAGGCAACACCTGTAACGGATGGAGTAACCTAAGGATCTGGGCTCGAATCGTAACATCAGGTAACGGACGGAAAACAATACGAAAGAAAATTACGCGATACGTCAATCGTATAAGCTGAATGGGATAAATAGTACATTCACGTACGTCATAATCCGAAAAATGTGTTAATGTTACGGGACGAGTAATACGATGTGACGATTCGAGCACTGCTCAGTCACATAGAGAGTGGACCACAAATTTTTTTGGCTCCCTCCATGACACCACCACCTCTTCACATGCCCACTCAAGCCAGCTAACACAACTTTCCCTCTGTTCCAACCCCGTCTGAACAGGACGTTTCCTGGGCTTGCCGTTAGCTGAGCTTGACGACACTGATTGATGTACAAATCCACCTAGGCGGGAGCAAGCGTTTTACATATAAATTCAACTATTCGTTGTCCTCGAATAAAACAAGGCACACATCACCGCAGTACAGCAAATGGTTTCAAAAAATGTGCAGCGTGCGACGTCTCCTACAGCGGCCATAAAACTGTGCAAAACTTGTGGTGTAGGATGTGGTGGTGCAGGGAGTCAGACATCTTGTCTCCGAGTTGACTTCATAATGGAACGAATTGTCACAATTCGTGTCAAAAATAAGTTCAGCAACATCAGCCTCATGTGTGCGCACGCCTCGAAAGAGGAAAAGGACCTTAAAACTAAAGAGCGTTTCAATGAGTGCCTAGAAAAAGCGAACGTATGATATCCTCACCAGGATGTTAAAATTGTGCTTGGCGACTTTAACGCAACGGTGGGCAAAGAAGGCATAATTGGTCGCACTGTCGGAAACTTCAGCCTACATGACAATACCTCAACTTTGACGCGGCACGAAAAATGATAGCTGGAAGTACATATCGGACACCAGCTTCATAGTAACCACAGAAGCGGTCTTGAAACTATTTCACTGCTGCTTTATTTTCTCCAAAAAATTTTGACCCACATTCCTGTTTGCCAACATAACAACGCTTCTTCACTCCTGAGCTGTTCAGATTCGGCTTTGAAGAGCTGAAAGGGTGCATGTACGAGCTGTTAAACTCAAGTTGCCCAACAATTCGAGTATTTTGGTCAATACACAAGAAGGGAGATCCTACAGTTTTCGATAATTACCACAAAATAAGCCTTCTTAACAGTGCGTATAAGATCCTATCGAAGAGCTGTGTGAAAGACTGAATCGCTTTATGGACAAACAGACTTGACAAATTCACCAGGCACCAATGGTTGGACCACGAAAGCATGGGCGCGCACGAGCGAAAGACCAGGAGCAGAAGGGCCTATCTGCACTCCGAATGAACCACTGATGTAACTTCGCAAAGGAGGGAGGCAATCTGCGAAGTTTTCTAGTCTCGGACCAAACCAACAAACAGTTGTAGCGCCAAATTAGCCAAGAAGAATATGTATGCAGGTTATGCCGAAGATTTACTTGACTTTGGACAACACCTAGAGCGAATAGAAAATGAAATGGTGAGCGGAGAGTGAGGACGAGACAACAGACGAAATTTTGTTGAGCCTAGTCCAAACCGACTAAAAGCTATGGAGTCAAAAAACATTTGCGCATTCATAAGGTTTTAGCCTAAACCCCTCCATGTTTTTCAAGCCAGATTTTTTGTCTTGTAAAACATATCGACGGCTGAGTGGAAGATCAACCTATCTCGGCAGCAGGTTCGAAAACGACCTATCTGAAAAAAAATTTTAATAACGCTATTTTAAAATTTTATTGAAAAATGCCCTATCACAAATGAAAAAATGTTGAGATAGGGCGTTTTGAAACCGAGTTCTTAGATAGGGCGTGTTTGATAAGTTTTCTGAGATAGGGAGCTTTCGAACTGGTTGCCGAGATAGGTCGAACTTCTACTCAGGCGTCGATATACAATGCAATTTCGGTTTATTTAAAATTTAGGCTAATATAATCTTCATAGGAATTATTTTTAAAATTGTGACTGGTACTGGGGTAAGAAGTAAAAGTTTCCAAAGGCAAAAATTACAGTATTTTTCAACAGATTAATGAAATGATTGCTACAGGAGTAGGGATAATTAAGACATTTTAAAATTTGTGGAATTTTCCTCTTTTACATGGAATGTGGACCCCTACGCTTTCCCGGTTTTGGTAAAAAAACGCATTTAACCTCCTACCGTAAGAATAAAATTGAAATAACAAATTATTTGATACTGACTGAAATTTTGAACTAATGTAAGAAAGTCCTGACTAGCGGTTAAAAACTCAAAAGCTCTGAAAAGCTCGTCTTTTTCTGCGTGTGACGAAAAACATAATTTTGTGGCAGTGTGACGATGTAATATAAACATTCGGGCTCATTTTAGAGTCAGAAAAGTCTCAGAATTCTGAGTTGTAACCCTCATTATGAGCTCAAAAAAGAGTCAGAAAAGAATATATTTTCCATGATAAAAATATAGTAAGGTAGAACCGCTGAGAGTCACTTTTAAAATTCTTGACCTTTCCAAACAATTTAATTTTTAAATTTACTCACAAACTCACACACACATTTTCAATCTCAAGCAAAAACAATTTCGAACAATTTCAATTTTTTATTTTCACTTTTATATGATTTTAAAATGTTGGCAAACTTAAAAAAAAAATCATGGCCGACAAATTGAGAGAAGGGTCCTACCTTGCTATGTTTTTATCATGATATTTTCCTTTTTAGAAGCGCACCCAAATATGGTTCTAAGTTAGGAGTCATATAAGAGTCTGAAAAATTACGATTTTTAATTTAAAAAATAATAATTTCTTTATAATCCTGATTATTAAAAACTTTTACCTCTACGTGAACTTCGTTACTTTTGTTCTACTCAGAATTTATGACACCAAAAGAGCCCGAAATGAGTCAGTCTGGTTGAGTGATGTCATAATTTTAGACTCTTAAATTCTGAGCACTCAGAGAATTATTTAAAGGGAGCTTAAGTGATTTATTTATTTATTTATAATAAAGCTTAAGTGATACCGACATTCCCAGTATCGAAATCCAACGCAGAATCACGGTTGCCAACAAGGCTCTTGTAGATTTTGAGAGAAAGATTCTGCGAAATATTTACGGACCTTTACGCATTGGTGATGGCGAATATCGCAGACGATTTAACGATGAGCTGTATGAGCTTTACAACGACTTGGACATAGTGCAGCGAATCGAAATACAGAGGTTCCGCTGGCTTTGCCATGTCGTTCGCGAATGGACACCGACGCTCTAGCTCAGAAAGTATTCAACTCGGAACCCGCTGGTGGTAGCAGAGGAAGGTGAAGGCCCCCACTGGGATGGAAAGACCAAGTGGAGAAGGGCTTGGTTTCACTTGGCATTTCCATTTGGTGTTAGTGGCCGCAGACGAAAAGCGAATGGCGCACAGTGTTTCGCCTCCATACAGTGAATTGGCAAAATTAGGGGAGCTATTGTAGAAAAATGAAATTTGGTGTGCTGGTTGAGAATATGCAAATTAAGAAAAAATCTACGTTTTGGCAAAATCGGTGCAAGGACATGACTATACTATACTATACATCCTTAATTTTTAAAGTTTAATTTTAGCAACAATTATTAATAAAATATAGCGAAAATTGGTAGCTGTCTGTGAAATTATGTTTTTAAGCTCTGTGGAAAATTTCGTTTTATCCGGTTCAAGGCTGTTGTCATGTCCCAAATATCATTTCTCTCAAAAACTAGATTTTAGCTACATTTGTGTTCAGAATGTCTTAAAAACTAATAATAGGTTGTAAATTTAAACTTTTTATTTTATTTATAGAATTTTAGTTATTGAAAAAAATTGCAGAATTTAATATTTTCTTTAAAAGGTCATGCATAAAAATTTTTCGAAATTTGCTCAATATTTAAGAGATCAAATGTAATCTATAATATTGTCTTTTAAAATGTATGTATATCTCAATTTCTTCAAATTCATATTTTGTTTGTAGACCTAAGTGATGATAGTTCCGGAACCGACATTAATAACAAATGAGCCATTAAATCTCTCGTCCGTTTTCTTGTATGGGAAAATGGCACATTTCTTATATTTTAATGACTGGCTTCTAAGGCTTCTTCGGACAAACACAATAGAATAAAATAATAATCAATTATAAAAATTCTTAAAATGTTTTTTTTTTTTTTAATTTCTTATAACCTATTGGCAAGTTTAAGTGTTCCACATCATCACACCCAAGTAACTACTAAAACCTTATGAAACGTACTTGGCATGGAAGACAGCCATATTGTATTAAATATGAGTTTCTAGTAATATTTGACTGCTCTCTCAACGTTCTAGCATCAACCGGGATTCCGCAGTATAAATCTCTTAATATAGCATTTTCAGTTTAAATGAAACTTTTTTCAAATTAAATGAAACCTTTTTCAGGTTAAGCGAAACCTTTTTCAAATTAATTGAAACCCTTTTCAG